CTGAAAGTTAGGGTTAATAGAGCATTTTATAGAAGAAAGTACGTTCCTTGCAGCCAAGGACAGCGGCAGCCGGTGTATTTTCAATATCGAGAGGCATAGGACTGACAGAAAGCACTGGGCAATCCCCCTCCGGCAGTCCTTGGGTTACTGCGTTATCCTTCAGCTCCCGTCATCCCCAGCCCACAGAGCTGGGGATGATGGGGACTGAATCCAGCCCATTGTTTCAGGAGAGAACCAGGGAGACAAAAGGCTGGCTTAAACTAGAGGATTATATATTGAATTACTGCAGCCTATAAATAAGTTTATGAATAAATGTATGTATTATTATGATTTATTTATGGTACAGTTATGCATGGTGCGGGAAGAAGTAGAAGTAGGTAGGGTTCTCTGTGGGTTTTTTATTTCCCTCCCCCTCTCTCGTATAACTAGAATTGGAGGGAAGGGGGAGATCGTAAAATCAAATCCATGGATTGTAGGTTAGGGAAGAGACGAAAGAGCCCTTTGTCGTTGCACAAACGGCAATTAATTTGAGACTCGTTGCCTTGAGACGCTAGGTAGACATCTTTGAAAGAGGATTAGCGTGTCCCCTGGGAGGTGGCGAAGTCAGCTAGGCAGTCTCTGTTGTGAGGGCAAGGGAGAATTGTAACAAACAGGCTGAAGGTTCAGCCTGCAGAGTCAGGCAGGCAGCTAAACTCCCAGGATACTGGAGCCTCTAAAACTAAATGGATGAGCAATAGCAATAGCAATAGCAGTAGACTTATATACCGCTTCATAGGCCTTTCAGGCCTCTCTAAGCGGTTTACAGAGAGTCAGCATATTGCCNCAAAAGTAAAGCAAGATCTGAGGCTAAAGGTGCGAAATTTTACATATCAAAAGTTTACCCAAATCCCCCCCCCCAACAACCCCAAGCTGAATGTCCAATCTCCAGCCCCCAAGGATGTCATGTGGGGTGCATTTCAGGGGCTTCATCCCTCTGGTATGTAGAAATGGTTGACCTTGACCAGACCTAAACAAGACCATTCAGCATGTGCAGAAGATGGTGAGAACAGAACTCCCTGTTCATCCCGAGATATCTCCTCCAGCACGATTCTCCTCTCAAATACCGAAACCCCCGCCCTCCCCGTTACTATGGCAGCCAATAGCAAGCAAGCGATATAGAGGCTGACAGAGGGATTTTCAAACTTGTAAAGGCCCCAGAACCCGTTAGTTAAAAGCAAAACAAAAATCTCCCTTGTCAAAAGACTAAAGTACAAGGGATAGAAAATTAATTGGATCTGAGTGGGTTTGGTTTTTTGTTTTTTGGTCCTTAGTGAAACACAGCTTGAAAAACTCGGATGTGTATATTTGTTTTGTCGTTCTGTATCAACAAATGCTCCAGGCAGAGTGCAGCAAATCTGCATTCACCAATACAGAAAAATCACAACAGTGGTGGAGCTTCAGGTTTGCTTGTCCAGAATTTGAAGCGATAGCATCGACAGCCCATGGCTATGCGCGAAAGCAGGGTCTCTAATGTTAAACAACAAAGTCGGCATTATCTTGATCTTGAAATCAATGCTACGGTGTTTTTGAAGAGCAGGCTTTGAAAAGGAGATGGAACAAACTACACTGTTAGCACTAAAAAGCAAAGCACAATAGGTACATATTATCTCTGATTAGGACAGCTAGAGGATCTAAAAAAACAGCCTCAACAATTCTGTAGTGGCCAATTCTCTGAAATCCCCCCCCCCTTTTCTCTCTCATTTTTGCATCGGTCTTTAAAGAGGGTGAATCCACAGAGGAAAACTCTCTCTGCCACTGTTTTTGTAGCTTCAGAATCTAAAGAGGGAAGAGATGGCTGACCAGCAAGTGCCTGGTTGCTGGGACTCATGCCAGTGGTGAGTTCTGGATCCTCCACATGAACGCGTGCAGCGCATGTGTCTTACCATCCAGCAATGCCTCCGCAATGCTCCAGCTGCTCGGCGGAGTGTCAAGCAGGTGCTGTACGCGGTATGCATGTAAGTGCCAAAGGGTTTAAAGACAGGTAAGGAGTGCGAGTGGGCCATCCGGAGCACTGTACCAGAACAGTACCCGGTGCTCCGGGCAGGCTCCAATACGCCCATACCGGGTCGTACAACCTGCAACCCACCACTGGCCCATTCCCCTCTTGAGGACTTCATAGAAGCCTCCAGCTGGCTGCTGTGAGATTCCTAATGCCAGATTATAGGAGTTTGTGACATCCTATAATATCTCTTTTGTCACAGTGCGCACAGTGTGACTACTTTTAGGAGGCAACCCAGGAGCAAAATACAGGACACAGAAGTTTGTCTTACAAACAGTGGTTTATATACAAGGACTTTAAATACAAGGCATACAGGATATACATACATACATACATACATACATACATACATACATACATACATACATACATACATACATACATACATGTGTTATACCAGGCACAGCTAGGCAATCAATCAATCTCCAGCTCTAAAAGGAGAACTACTATGGAGATAGAACACCACTAGGAGAGATACACAAGGAGANGGGGGGGGGGGACTCTACCTGCTTGTTTTTGTCCATATAGTGTTGATTGCTGCGAAGTTGCTCATTCTCCCCCCCATGGCTCATAAGAGAGATGGGGGGAGGGAGAGAGATAGAGAGAGAGTCCTCGGTGGCGTTCTGTCTTCATCTCGGAAGACACAGCAATAATACCAATTGCTAGGCAAGGGGTGGGGATGGGGGGGGTGTTGTGGCTGGAGGGCCCGATTGCTTCTGCAGATCCCAGGAGCCGGCCTGCCAGAGATAAAGATCGGCTGTCTCCTTTTATCAGCGCCATGTCGGCTCCCAAACTAGAACGGCAGCAAGCTCTCAAGGTTGCGTGTCTGGAGTTCCTGATGAATTGCTGTCGTTCACTGGGGTGCAAAGGAGGGGGTGGGGGGGAATGGGGGGGGTGTCCTTCTCTCCTTCTCAGGGATGTCGACTTACTTGGGTCTCAAATACTGCAAATATGGAAGGCGGCTTGAAGGGCAGCCTCTTTCCTTCTGGACCCCTCCTTCTTCCCACTTGCAGTGGAGGAGAATTCAAACTATCCACAATCTGGACAATACAAGGTTGTCCTTGACTTAACAACGGTTCACTTAGTGACGGTTTGACGTTACAGGGGCATTCAGGGGGAAAAAAGCGACTTATGGCTCTTTAGAGGCGACATCCCCATGGTCACCTGTATCAAAATTGAAACGCTTAGCAGCGGACTTGTATTTATGACGGCTGCAGCATCCCGGGGGTCCTGTGATCCCCTTTTGCCACTTTCTGACCAGCAGACCCCATGGGGGAAGCCAGATTCACTTAATGGCCGTGTTACTGACTTAGCACCTGCGGTGGTTCACTTAACAGCTGCGGTTAGAAAATGAGGTCGTAAAATGAGGCAAAAACTTGCTTAGCTGACGTCTCACTCAGCAACAGAAATTTTGGGCTCAGTTGCGGTCGTAAGGTCGAGGACTACCTGTAGCTGTTTGGGTTTAGCAGCAGGAAAAGTCTTCCAAAGTCTTAAGGCCTTGGCTTGCTGGATCAGATCCCACCCAACTCATGATTTCCCCTTTCTTTGTCAATTTGTCTGAGGTTATATAATAAAGGCTGTGCTGGTGGTGTGGTCTTTTCAGCAGAAATGTCATTATCGGGTAAAATAACATCACCATTTGAAACACCACCACCCTCTCCTTCACACTAATCTTCCCCCAGTGTGAGACATCGGCAAGAAAATGGAAGATCTTTAGCTCAGGGTTGGCCAATTAATAGGTGCTTTTTTCAAGAGGCAACTGGACTTTCTGTTTTTTATTTGAAGACATTTCGCTTCTCATCCAAGAAGCTTCTTCAGTTCTGACTGGATTGGGGGGACAGCAAGGACCATCCAGTTAGAGCTGAAGAAGCTTCTTGGATGAGAAGTGAAACGTCTTCAAAGAAAAATCAGACAGTCCAGTTGCCTCTTGAAAAAGCACCTTTGGGGCAACCATGACCCGGATGACTGAGGGTCTCCATAGACATTCAGGGCTGAACTATTGGGTTCCTGGTGTCTTCTGAGCTTAGTTGTTCTGTTGTTTTGGGTTGGCCATACAGACCACCATTGAGCCCAAAATATCTGTGGCTAAGCAATACAGCTGTTAGGGGAGCCCTATTTTACAACCTTTCTTGCCACAGATAAAGTTAAGCGAATCACTGCGGTTAGTAACCCGGGTTGTTAAGTGAATCTGGCTTTGCTTGTCAGAAGGTTGTGAAAAGGGGATCACATGACCCCAGGACACGGCAACCGTCATAAATTTGAGTCAGATGCCAAGCGTCTGAATTTCAATCATGTGACTATGGGGATGCTGCAGTGATCAAGCATGATTGCCCCATGCTGGGTGAGAGGAAAGAAAAGGGATTTTTTTTTTTTGTTCTAAGCAGTGCTGCTGTTGGCATTCTGGTAGGCATTGGTCAAAATCTGGGGAGGTTGGTCAGGGTTGTTAAAAGCTACCCTTAGCCTGGTCTCAATGGAGGAGAATGTTTGTAGCTCAGGGTTGAAATGAAGGGTCCTTGGTGCTCTCTGAGCTTGCTCGTTCTCTTGCAAACGTTTCATTACCCTAGCAATAGCACAAGAGTAGAATAGAGTAGAATAGAATAGATGATAATAGCCGTTATATACTACTTCACCATGCTTTACAGCCCTCTCTAAGCGGTTTACAGAGTCAGCCTACTTCCCCAAACAATCTGTGTCCTCATTTTACCCACTTCGAAAGGATGGAAGGCTGAGTCAACCTTGAGCCTGGCTTGATTCGAACTGCCAAATTGCAGGCAGCCTGCAGTCAACAGAATTAGCCTGCAGTACTGCACTTTAAGCACTGCACCACCACGGCTCTTAGCGTGATGTTACCTAGTTAGGGTAATGAAATATTTGTAAGGGAAAAATAGCAAGCTCAGAGAGCACCAAGGACCCCCTCATTAGCCTGGTCTGTTTGGTCCAGTCCCACTTACCCTGTGAGCTCATTCTGAAGAAGGCCTTCTTGGTAAAAACCCATCTGTGACTTTTTCTCCTGGCTAATCTTTCTTTCCTTTCCCGAATTCTAAACCCAGCCGTCCATTAGGAGATGATCCATTCCTTAGTGTCACCGTTTTGTCAAGAGCTACTTAGAGATCACTTGTTCCTTTCACCAGGCTTCATTGTAAAACAAGTGTGCAGCTTTGACTTAAGGCTCCCTTCGGCACCACTCAGTTGAAGTATCTCTAAGGAGGCTTAATCCTTTGGTGCCTCTCTTCTTCTTTTCCTGTCTTCCACAGGGCTCGGGAGAGAGTTACCTGGAGAGAACAGAGCGCTTATATCTGCAGATGTGCTCAACGAGAGAAAAGGTGAGGCACCCGGGCACCCACCTTCCTGCCTGCAATCCCACAGAAGTGTCGGGACCCAGGATAGTTAGTCCAAACCTGGTGTACAATGCAAGTAGTCCTCAATTTATGACCGGTCGCTTAGCAACTTGTCAAAGGTCCCACGGACCTCCCCGGGAACAGTTACAACAGAACTGGATCATGCACATCACAGAAGTCACATGACTGTATGGCACGCACTCGACAATCAGCTGTTCGCAGCATCCACATTTCGTGGTGTTTTTTTGCTGAAAATCGGCATTTCTGTCTTCCTGTTGGCAGAAACTTAGTCCTGCAGGATTCATTTAATGACCGGCATACAACGATTGCAACATTGGGTCAGTCGTTGGGACCAACCTGATTTACGACCGTAATGGGCAGGCTCCATTACGGTCGTCAGTTGAGGACTACTTGTATCTGTGTCACGAAAGAGCCCTCAAGTACATTGGGAAATTCGTCTTAACCTATGCTTTAGCCTTAGCAGGTAGCTGCAGAATTCCCTCACCTGTTTTGTTGCCCTTACAGATCCCAAAACTCCTGAGGCGAGAAAAGCCGTAAAATGGCATAAACTCACTTAAGAAATTTCTCATTTAGCAACATAAATTTTGGGCTCAATTGTGGTTGTAAGTTGTTTATAGTACCTGTATAAACAATTGCTTTCTCTTCCCTCGACCACACAAGAGAAGGCTTTTTTTTTTTTAACCATTAAAAGTCTGGTGATTTTCTTGGCCTTAAAATAGCATAATCGACCCAATTCTTCCAGATTTTAATCCTACCGCTGATAAGCCATTCCTTTTCCATATCATTCACTTTTAAGATGGATGGACTTCAAAGCCCAGAATCCCCCAGAATTTTGAGAATTGAAGTCCACCCGTCTTAAAGTTGCTGAGAGGCAGAAGGACCCAAGATAGGTGGGTAGGTTGGTCCCTTATGCCCCCTTTCCAGATTCTTATCATGGTTTGTTCTCCTGTCATAGAATTTGATGGACGACCAAGAGCAACTGAAAATCCAGGTGACAGAACTGGAGGAGGAAGTCAACACCCTGATGAAGATCAACAAGAGTCTTTTCGACTTCTCCAGCTCTATCATCACCTCCACCAAATAGAGCAGCTTCTGAAGCCTGGTTAGAGATGGAAGGAGAGACAAGCCAGTCGGGGTTCATGTTGGACACAGCCATTTCCTCCATGACAACGCTTGATGGGAACTTATACGGTTGCAGAGATACCCTCTCATAACCATGTCTAACTGCAGGGCTGGCCATGGAAGTCTGTAGCATCTAGATGTTCTGGGAGGAGCCCTACACCCCCCCCCCCCAAATCTTTATGAATAACAGCAGATAGCATGGAAGGAGAATAGCCCAGCTAGGGAAAAGAGATGAGCCCTTTTCTTTTACAGTGCAACTTCCTTACATCCTACAAGATCCTTTCATTCCTCAAACAGAACCAACTGTAGATGTTCTTGAAGATGCCACCATCCCCTTTTCTCCAGTCGGAAACCACGTGGCCGCTTTAGAACTCCTCTTGTACCTGAGAACTTCAACTTCCGGGGGGTTGAGGACAACAACCATGGGCTTCGAACGCATCACGCACAATAGGTGGAACTGCCCTCGTTGTAATGGGCCAGGGAGAGGGACAATTGACCAGCAAGAAGAATGACCCGTGTAGCTGGACTGAGCACAGAGGCTTTCTGCTCTCAAGCTCTTGCTCTGGGGCGGGGGGGAGAGAATGGAGAGATGGGGAAGATCATATTTCATCCTTTTTTTCCTCATTTGGAAAAGGTGGAGAAACCTTCCCTGCAAGAACAACCTGGCATGATAAGAGGAAAAAAAAAACAATCTTTTTACGGTCAGAGATCAGCAGAAAAAAAAGTGGGGGGGGATTTTTTTTAACTGAACTGCTACTCTTCCTGCAGAATAAATTGTGAATTTTTTGTCTGGTCCATCATTCTACCAACTTACGGCCAGGGTGTTTAGCCAACCAGATGTTTAGTTAGGCTTCTTTGAAGATGGCTCCAATGGCTTCTGTACGGTTGCCGGTTTCAGCACCAACCTCAAGATGCCTTTGCCATGTAGCAGGTTTACTTTCATTGGGTTATCTTGTTTAATTCTCTTTCTTTAGAGGGGGGGGGGAACAACCCCTCCGGTTCTGTCTTCGGCCAAATTGTTCTTTGTTGTATTACACATTTTTTTAAAAAACAAACAAACACAAAAACTGTTAACACAAGTGTTTGATTTCCCCACCACCCCATCCCCTTTTAATGTTATTGTCTGTGTCTCCTAGCAAATTGGCTCTACCGCTGCGTCCTGTTTGGGAGATTTCCAGAGCATCTGCCGAACACCAGTGGAAAGGAGGATGCTGGGCTTAAGTGGAATGACAATTTAAGCGAAATGTTCACCTTCAGGAACAGGGCCCATCTCAGGACCCCAATTGCAAGTCACAAATAGAAGGAGCGTAGCTGCTCAAGCCCTGGTTACAGACTTCTTAGAGACTATCGAGTGGGTAATTCTGGATGGCGATAATTGATCCAGCGAGCTGCTTTTCGCGCTCTTATTAATGGGGCCTAAAAATGAGAGCAAACAATGTAAGGCCACATGCTCAGGAGCAGCATTGCTCCATGGAGAAAAAGCAAAATCGTTTTTCTTCACCATATGGCCCCGTGGCTGAATTTTCCCAGCAACATCTGGCTGGAAAGAAGTTGGGTCCTGCCAAGCACGAACTGCATTCATAAATCGTTGCCCAAGAACAATTGGCTTTATTTTATTTTATCCCCACCCCACCCCACCCCTAAACTGAAGAAAAGGCAGGGATTTCTCTCAATTGCACAGAAAGTGGAATCAGCTTTGACGCTCTGCGTGGGAGGGAGACGAGAAGCAGAAAGTTGTCCTTAGCAAGCCCTTGGTAGGGAGGGGGGGGGGAAACCCCTGGTCCTCAGCTTCTTTCTCCCAGATCCAGATGATGACTTTACCCTTTTCAAGGCTCAATTGCTCCAAATTGGCAGCCCGTGATATTGAGGGAGACATCTGGCATAAGGAAGGCAACATAATTCCATTTGTTTTGAACTGCAGCTATTCGTTCTGCTTAGGGCCAGCTTTCTTGTCCCCCTTCATTTCTTAGCCATGCATAAAAGGAAGTCTAGGCCTCCAGAGGAGAGAAGAAGCTCTCCTTTTTGGACTTTTAAACAGAGCAGGGAATACCAATACCAATAGCACTTAGACATATCCACCTCTAAGCACCATATTTTTGGACTATAAGACGCACCGGTGTATAGGACGCAAAAGATTTCAAAGAGGTAAGAAGAAAAAGGGTTTTGCCTCCCCTCAGCCCCCAGCAGCACTCTGCAGACTTCAGCAGGGCTGGGACAAGGCAAATATGCCCCCGTTTCTGCCTTGCCCCAGCCCTGCTGAAGCCTGCAGAGTGCTGCTGGGGGCTGAGGGAAGGCAAAAAAGCCCCCAAAACGGCCAGTTTTTCATAAAAATGGGATGCAGGGGCGGGGCTTCCAGAGGCTAAAAATGGCTGTATTTGGTTTATAAGACGCACCAACATTTCCACGCGCTTAAAGTGGGTGTGTGTCTTAGACTCCGAAAAATATGGTAGTTTACAGCGTAGTTGTTGCCCCCAACAATCTGGGTCCTTATTTACCCACCTCGGAAGGATGAAAGGCTGAGTCAACCTTGAGCCTGGTGAGATTTGAACTGCCAAATTGCAGGCAGCAGGAGTAGGCTGCAGTATTGCACTCTTAATCACTGTGCCACTGTGGTTCTTATGGCTCTTACTGAGAGCTGTGGGGGAATGAAACCCCCACAGCTCTTGGTCAAGACAGCAGGGTCCCTTTTTCAGTCATAGCTGCCTGTTCTGACCCCCCTCTTCGTTCGTTCACAAATGACAGTCAGACAGAACTTCAAAGGAAATATCTTTATCCGTCCTGGCTGAAGCTGGCTGNCCACAAAGAAGAGGGAGTCAAGCTATTCTCCAAGGGACCTGAGGGTAGAACAAGAAGCAATGGGTGGAAACTAATCAAGGAGAGAAGCAACTTAGAACTGAAGAGAAATGTCCTGACAGTGAGAACAATTAATCAGTGGAACAGCTTGCCTCCAGAAGTTGTGAGTGCTCCAACACTGGAAGTCTTTAAGATGTTGGATAGCCATTTGTCTGAAGTGGTGTAGGGTTTCCTGCCTAAGCTTCCTGCTTTCTAGTTGGACTAGAAGATCTCCAGGGTCCCTTCCTACTCTGTTATTCTATTCAAGTTACCAACCGACCACATTTATTAAACAACCAAGTAGGGAGGACTCGGAAATGGTCCATTGCTTTTTAAAAACAAATAAATAAATCATAGCAAGCTAAATGGAACAAGAATTACAACACCTTACCAGACAAACTTGCAAGGGCCTTCCACAGCATTTGCTGGACAAGCAAAGATGCATTTGTCACCAGCAAAAGGGACGTGGTTCAAGGGGTACAAAAGCATTTTTTTAAAGGAAATATAGGCATTTTTAAAATTGCACATCCAACTCAAAGTTTCTTGGGCACAACTTAATTAATTTATGAATGTTACTATTGTTGTGCAGTACTTTTTGTACCTCAGCATAAGGCTGAGTCATGAGGGGTGTTGTCTGAGGTATGCATTGAGGTGTGTAATGTGGCTGCAGGAGGGGCATGTTTCACTTTATGGCTTCATCATAAATCTCTCTCAGCAAGAGGCAAGGAGAGGCCAGATAAGGGTGGGTTTCTTGCCCACTGGGATCAATACAGGTAGTCCTTGACTTATGACTACCACTGGGACCAGAAATTTTGTTGTTAAGTAAGTCAGGCCTGCTTTTACAACCTTTTTGCCATAGCCACTGAGTGAGTCAGGCAGTCGTTAAGTGAATCCTGCTTCCTTCATTGACTTTGCTTGTGGGAAGCCAGCTGGGAGGATCGGAAATGGTGAACTCATGATCCTTGGACGCTGCGATCATTGTAAATACATGCCCGTTGCCGAGCACCTGAATTTTGATCATGTGACCGTGGGTTGCTGTGATGGTCATAAGTGCGAGGACTGGTCTTAAACCACTTTTTCCCCAGTGCCAGTTTGACTTCAAGCAATTGCGAAACAAATGGCTAACTATGGCTCTCTGTAAATTCCCAACCATGTATCAATCGAACCCTTTTGCAAGGCAATCCTGAGATTGAGTCCTCTGGCATGGGGATCAATCCGAATAGAGCTGGAAGGAACCTTGGAGGCCTTCTAGTCCATCCCCCTGCTCAAGCAGGAGATCCTATACCATTATCAGACACGTCTCTTCTTAAAAACCTCCAGTGAAGAAGCACCCACAACTTCTGAAGGCAACTTCTGTCCCGCTGGTTAATTGTCCTCCCTGTTAGGAAGTTTCGCCTTGGTTCCAGCTTGCTTCTCTCCTTGATTAGCTTCCATCCATTGTTTCTTGTCCTGCCCTCTTTGGCGCTTTGGTAAATAAATTGACCTCCCTCCTCTTTGTGGCGGCCACTCAAATACTGGAACACTGCTATCATGTCCCCCCTAGTCCTTTTCTCTAGACTAGCCAAATCCTGCAGCCGTTCTTCCTATGTTTTACGAAGCCTTTAATCATCTTAGTTGATGCTCTTTACACTTTTTTTTTTAAACCAAAGCCTCAACATCTTCTTTGTAATCTGGTGACCAAAACTGGATGCAGTATTCTAGGTGTGGTCTTAAAGTAAGCCTTAATAAAGAGGTGCTAATACTTCATGTGATTTTGATCCTGTACCTCTGTTTATATCAGTGTTTTTCAACCACTGTGCCGCGGCACACTAGTGTGCCGTGACATAGTGTAAGGTGTGCCGTGGGAAAAACA